AGAGGCTATAAACTGTTTAAATAAACAAGGACTACTTAAACTCTTTCATGACGATGCATTATGAATTTCTACACTACTTATTGAGGTAAATATCTCCTTCCTTACAACATAGTAGTAAAAAAAAAAAAAATAAAAAAAACCCCCACCCACCAAAGCTTTTTTTGAAAATGTTAGAATTGACCAATTTGTGCCCAAGACCATTACTGTATGGTAATGCTGCTTCACCTGTACCAATTTCAATATGAAAAATGAACAGTCAAAAAAAACCCACACATTATAAATCACGATGTATAAAACATCTATCTATGTGTGGCTCTGAGGAAACACATAAGAAAGTGAACTATTTTGAAATTGACAATTATTTATTTGAAACCTTTCATCTTTCTTGAGCATTTTGCACTGAATTTATCTGCAATGGCACACTCTGAAACAAAGTTATGGGACTTCAAAGGGTACAAAAGTCTGAAGAGTAAGTTTAGAGAAAATGGCTTTGAAAATGTTCTATGTTACGAGGTTGTATAATAAGTGAAAGGAAACAGGCACAGTTCATTTGTCTCTTTCTGCTGCTATATATGGAATGAGTGAGCTTCTTATGTCCTCAAAATAATTTGTAAAAATAGTATTTGAGATTTGAGTAACATACTGTTAAAATCAAAATTTAGCACAGGTTAATTTTTCCATTTCATAAAACCTCATTTGTGACAGAAATGAAGCTTACGTTTATCTTAAACTATATCTTATATCACCACCACCACAATCCAAAATTTTTTCTCAAAGTCACACACAAATAAAGGGCTATCAGCCATTAAAAAAAAGTGAGCAGTGTCGGGGTGACCCTTTTCCTCCATCCATTACAATCAACACGAAAGGAAGAATTCAGATGACATTAAAATTTTTCAACAAAGAAATGACCCACAAGAAAAAGGCCAAAATCCACAACCGTATAAAATAAATGCCAATGATCTTTAAAAAAATCTGTATTCATTGTCTTCATATTTGCTGCACCATAACCCCAGTGTCTTTTAAAATGTGGCAACTTCATTGTTACTTGGTGTGTCATCATGCATAACTTTTTAGATCAGATGTTAAGAACCTCTTCGGGAAGACCACACCCTACAAAGTTTTGATCCAACGGTGTGTATTTCAACATAAATGACATTTCCCTCCTCTGTGCTTTTGTTTTTAAAAAATCCAGTTTACACATTTATGTTACCTTTGTATCATAATCATAGTGTTATAAATGTGTTTCTCCAATGGCGGAGTTTAACAAAAATGAAATTGACAAACTTTCCAGTGTAAGTGTTGCATCTAAAAATCTTTTCAACTTGATTATCATAGAAAACACTCAGTATAATTGGATTATAATTGAATAGGCATATAAATTAACTGATGGAGAATCTGGTTTCATTCCAATGTTTATAAGCTGAAGGGAAAAGCTCATATATATACTTACCCATGTTATTAAAGAGAGAAAGCTAAAAATGTACACTTTCAATATGATGTAATCCAATAAACAGATTAATGATCTCTTTTCTGAAGACAAAATTCTTTGTCAAGATCTCATATATGGAGTTAAAATAGCTACAGTTGCTGTAATGGTATCACAAAAATGTACATTTGAAAAACAAAGTACAGTTTCTGGTCACATCCATTCCATCTCAAGGCTCTTTTCCAAAAATTTTTAATTTTCAAGGAATAAATATAGTGTTTGATAAAAGGCGTAAAAAAAACAACAACAAAGAGGACAAGTTGGAGTAATAATATTATTGGACAGTGATGGATCAACAGAATATTCACCTTTCAAAAATGCACTAAGTTTTACTTAGCACACCAGCACGACTTTTACAAAGAAGAAATGTGTATGGCCCTAGGGGCAGTCCTAGGGCACGGCTCCAATATGCATACTAGCTTTGTTCAAGCAACAAAAATAAGTTATGCAGTTGCTAAAGACAGCTCATTTCCCTCCATGCACCCCCCCCCCCCAGAAAACACCCCAAAACAAAACAGAACCCCCCCCCCCCCCCCCCACACACACACAAAAAGCCCCTCAAGACAACAACAAGCGCACAAACAAAAACATAAAGTAAAAGTCAGTATTTTGTAACTGTATAGGTATCCTGCCTCTTTCAAAGCGGTAAAGAACAGTTAAATCCCCCTGCAGTCCACAGACACAAAGTGTTCATAGAAATATTAGTTTATGGTGATGGGTTTAAATATAGATTCCTGAACCTTGTAAGAAAAAAATTCCTCTTCAAAAGAATGGAAACCATCCATAAAAAGAGGAAGCTTGTAAACAAAGAAAATGAAAGTTTGAGACGTTAACTATCACTTCATGCTGCCTGCTGGGAAACTGATATTTATTGAAAAGAACAAACCAGACTAGTAGTAGATCTAGAAGGAAACAGAGTTGTTCAAAACAGAACAACTCAAAAAGACTACATTAGTTTCACATTCAGCACCATACGTTTTTATGAAATAAATCCTGCTCCTGATAATTCTTAGAAAGTACAGCAGCTCATGGCTGAGAGGAAAAGGGAGACAGGACATTGAAACATGCACAGATTAGAGTAGTGTATGTAGGAAGACTAATACAGGACACAGGGGCAATAGGAAAGGACACCATAAAAGCAATGTTTTAAATGGCCCCTTAGAAGAGGAAGAAGGTCTAACTAGTCTTGAGCAGTCCACTCCTCATTCAAAAAGCTAAGACAAAGTATATTTTACTTAGCAGAAGTCAAACTAGATCTTTGAGGCAACCAGACACTGAATCATTTTTGAAAATACCAGTCTAAAAAAAGATGAAAAATACCACAAATGACTTTGAGACACACCTACTCTACAGCCTTCAAGAAAGCAATCTATTAAGGGAGACAAAAAGGACAATAACGCTACCATCTCAAGCTTTAAGAAGGGTACATAGAAGGATAGGCCTAGGCTAAAGCTTTCATAAATCTCTTCATGAGCAATAAAAGACAAAGAATAACTTGAACGATGTACCACAATCTGAACAAGATGTAAGTGTGAAAATAATAAAAAGAATTACGTGGTCACAAAAAATGCCATTAAAAACTGGAACGTACGATAGGAACTTTGCATGAAATTTTAACTGCTCCCCTAACTTCTCCCAAACATCAAAATAACTAATGAAATTAACAGTAAAAAAATTCAAACCAAAAGATATCGCAATATCCATCACAAGCAACTAATAGTCGGCCCATCCCTAGTTCCCAACACAAACACAGTAAATTCAAAACCCTTTACAGGCTTACTCGTATGTTATTATGGTTGAAGCTCTTCTGTAAGTGGGACTAAGAATGCCCTAGGGAAAACTAAGAAAGTTTGACCAAAAAAATAATAACCCCCCCCCCCCCCCCCCCAGATTGTTTTGATTCTGCTGAAAGAGCCATCATTGTGGAGGCATCCTTCAACAAAAACAAACAAACAAAAAAAAATCACGAAAGAAATACTTGAATAAAACAAATATATTCACAAAACAGTAAAGACACAATACTTAAAACCCCTCAAACAAAATGGAGTAAAGAATAGAAAATTATAATATAAAAAATAACAATATAAAAAATCTTCATAATAACAACTTTCCCCATGAAAATAAATAAAAAGAAGCAACGTTCATCAACGTAAAAAAAAAGTAAAAAAAAAAAAAAAAAAGACCCATAAATATTCCAAATGCGCTGTGGGGGGTTATCAAAAACACATTAACTTCAAGATTCTGGTGGCAATGGTGCTGAGCCAGTCAATTCTGCAAGGAGTGAGATTTCCATGCCAGATTCTCCGACGGTAACATCTGTAGTACCTTGTATCCCCCCTTCAGGCGAGACAGAGGTCGACAGATGTAAATCTTTGGCTGGCTTCACATCTAAGAATGAATGCTCTTCCACAGTAATATCATCTCTTTACCACTGTAGGATTTCAAATAACTAGCTAGATGGGTAAAGAGAGCTGAAAGTACGACCCTGCTATCAGAGTCCAAAGAATGAAAAACCCCCAAAAACCCCCACTGTCATTTAACTATTAGATACAATCACTGCCCCCCCCCCCCAAAAAAAAAAAAAAGAAAAGAAAAAAGGGGAGGGGGGTGTACTAATAAGATCACTCTTTTTTTTAAAAAGCAGAAAAAAACAAAAAAAACAAAAAACAAACAAAAGCAACAAATACACCCCCCCAAAATCTTTTGAGTATAAAAAGAAAGTTAAAAAAACCCAACAACAAATCATTTTCATAAGTTAGTGAATGAACTGAAGTATAGACGAGACAAAAAAGGTGAAATAGATTTCCATGATAATTTTTGCAACCCAGGAAAGGAGCCCTTCTTCATTTTCTCCACGAAAAGAAAAAGCTTCAACACAATAATGAGAAAAACGAAAAAGACGTGACATGACAAATGAGACAAGACACATGAGAGATTAATACCCAGAGCTCATGACCTACCTAATATATAAGCAGTAAAAATGAGAACTTGTGTGCTCATATTATGTCAAACATTCAAAATTTACAGTTTCAAAAGAATATGACCACAGCAAGACACCTCTAGGCATCAAGGTGTTTCTAGAGGTCTAAAAGGAAGTCTACATTATAAAAACATGTATACACATGTCTGAACATACATTCCAATTAACAAACAGGCAGTGGTATACCGAAAGAAAAATGTAACAAGAAACAAATTAGTTTCCTGTTATTGTATCTTTTAAACTCAAAGTATCAGGGACAAGATTCTAAAAATAAGTCTGGTTTACCTTTCGAGTCAAATGTTCTTCCACACAGATGGATAGAAAGGATGACTGCAAAAGTGGAGCATGTTTAAATCTCCTCTCTGGGCATGGGCCAAGAGAAACTCCTCCTGAATCTCAACAGCTACAAACATTTCATGTCCTCCACATCCTGAAGGTACTCTGCCACTTCACCTGCAAGAAGTGAAATATTGATTCCCTATGCATAGGGTCACCAAACATGACCTTAAACAAGGAATGAAACCTATCCAAAGTCTTGGTCTATAGTGCTACTATAGACTGTTTATTTCCGCTTTGCAAATGAACTGTATTCTGAAAGTAATCTCACAGGGTATTTGTAGAACATGAGAAAACCATGTCCAGTGTAGACATAAAGATTACAATCTTTTGTCATAATTGTCATGACAAAAATTACCCCCCCCCCCCAAAAAAAAAGAAGATAAAATAACAAAAGTAAAAGAAATAAAAAGACAATACCTGTTTTTCTTTTCTGTAAAAGGTAGTTGTGTTGATGAATAGATGTGACCATAAACTTCACAAGGTAGTACAGTAACAATAGCACAGCTTTCATATTTCAGTACAAACTGCAATAGCATTATTACAACACAAAAAATAATATCCACTCAAAATTCCCAACTGGTTCAATATTATTCAAATTTCCAAATTCAAACACAAACACACAAAAAAACAACAACCAAAAACAACAGAAACAAAAAGATATATATTTGCAACAAAAAGCATGTCTCATGGGAAACAACTTTGATGTGTGAACAAGTTTCATTTTAAAAATTAGCTATTGCTGCCTTGTGGTTGACTATAACAAGTGTGCAGCCATTCGCACCAGGCTGAATCTACATTTAGAAGCTGTCCTAATACTAAAAGAAAAAAAAAAAAAGTACTAATTTGTTTCCAAACTGTACAACCACAGAAAATCTTTCAGAATGCAAATGAAAGACAGTAGATTATTGAATCGAACAACCCTTAACAAGCTGACCAAAATGGTAAAGAATGAAATTTTACTTGGTGGTGTTCAGTATTTTCTCGAAAATTTAATGTCTGGTTCAGAGTGCACACATTTGTGAAACATTATTTTCTTTTCACATGTTTGATAACCGTATAATTAATCAAATATTGCAATGTTTCATATGAACATTCACACATTTATCAGCAGAGTTTCATCTGAACCAGCACACATTTGTTGGGGGGGGGGGGGGGGGGGGGGGGGAAATGAGTTAGATCCACAGTTAGAGAGAAATGAGAAGCATAAACTCGCTACCATATATACTCTCCTTTAATTCTCAAATCTTATTTTAAAGTATTACGTCAAAATCCTGAAAAATGGTTACACTATACATCTTAAGACATTATTCACCTTCACATTTAAAAAAAGCATACAATAATCACAGGGGAGATGAACAGGCTGAAGCATAATGTAGGTTCCATGAAGTCACTGCCACTTAAACAGCCACAACATAAGAGTTAGAATAAAAACAGCATTTTAATATTTTAGCCCAATTTGTTTCAGGAAAGATACAGCACAAGATTCCATAAAGTTTGCCCCATTTTCAGTGTGAAATCTAAGAAATTTTACACATTGTGTGTCTGTATATGTTTTATGCCCTGTATCACTAAAATTCAGATCATTTAGGAGGTAGGCATGTCGGGGCCAATCTGGGTGGAGTTGTCCTAGCAGAAAGACGGACATACTCAAAAAAATCTCCCCACATGTAAATCAAAACCCATGCCTTCTGCAAGCAATGGCGAAACGTTTAACCGCTACACCACTCATACATATTTGCAAATAACATATAATTATTCAACACATTTAAGAAAGGAAAAGAATATACATTATATGATCTCACAGTCAAACTGAGCATTACAAAGTAAGTATATATTTACACTAGTCTTCATTAGTTAACTACATGAATTCATTTCATTAATTATCACTGCTTTGTTCCAGGTAACACAGCATCAAGCATCAAAGAGGGGCACGAAGAATAAAAAAATTAATTTTTTTTCCTGCAAGGTCTTCATATCCTGATCTGAAGGCAAGCTATCGGCTTAAGTAAGAGGTCAAAAGGGATATATTAAGTCCAAAGAATTGACCTTGGAAACAGCCAAAACTTACAAAAATATTGTTCTAAGCCAGGAGATATAAAAGTCTTGGGCCAAGAAACTAAAAAAAAGAAGAAAAAAAAGAAAAAAAAAAAAAAAGAAATAAACACAAAAGAAAAAACCCAAAAGAGAAACTGAATGCAGGTAGCAAATCCCTAATACTGCCACCTAATTACAATATCAAAAGAGAATATCAGTGAAACAAAGAATGAAAACCAGACTAGAAACCGATATTGAAGACAATTCTGAAACTCATACACTGAAGACTATGCTAGGCTACACCAGAACAACGTAGGATAAACATCATGACATGTCCCTTTGATAGGAACTGAGAGTATCTAATCCTGGGACCTTGAATTTCACTAAAATGTGTCAAATGAAAACAATTTTTAAGAAATGTTATCGTTTGTCTGGAAAGTATACATTCATAAGGTATACTCTGCAAAAAGCATACTCATAACTGATAAGAAATGGCTAAAAAAAATAAAAATTTCCTAGAGTGTATCCTGATGGCACAGGCTAATATAATGAACAGTGTCATTGTAGGGAATAAAACCGAGACATAGCAAACAGGTTAATTAAGAAGGCACATTGTATACAGACACAAAACAGAGACTTACTTGACTAAACAAACGAACTTTAAAAATCATACAAAGAAATAAACAAACTTGAATGCAAGATAAGACCACAATGGAAAAAAAATTAAAAGAATATACTTAAAAATTACTTAATGGAATAAAATTTAAAAAAAAGGCAAAAACAACTCAAACTCCGATGACACATTATATTACAAACATTTTAAGACCCATCCACAGGCACCTTCTAATAAATGAAAACCAACATGAAAGCAAGAATTGTACGCAGTGTTTACTTACTCAAGTACAGAGACAAAAAGTAGCCCTTTGGGTATCAAAGTCAACAAAGACAGATTTGTTATTATGCACAGCAGTACAAGAAATAAATAAATGGCGCTAAAGTCTTGAAAATAGGTTAAGCTATATCTAAAAAGCAGAACATATATTTATATATATTTATCCTGAAATGCCTATCTCTTAACTCATAATATTGATGTTTACACACACAAAAAAAACCCTCCCCATCTGGACAGGTCTCATAACAAACAACATTACTTGTTGACAAAATTGGGCATGAATGAGCTTGTGCAATTAATCTAAAACCTATAAGGGATGGTGCTTTGTACAAACACATTTCAAACAGCACATTAAGTTAATGTGGGGGGTAGTTGCCAACTTCAGACTCATGTGGTCCACCAGGAACAATGAATAAGTACACTACTTTTCTTTCATACCATTTTACATTTTACTTACTAAGCCCTCTCAAAGAACACTGGGAATAACATCTAGATATAATATGTACATTCAATTGATCGCTTGGGGGTGGGGGCTGCTGCAAGTCAGGAGTGATGAGTGTACAGACGTAGATACATGTGTGTACAGTGAACCTCGCATCCAACAAACTTGTCATCAAACTTGAGCATTTTAAATTAAATTTAACACTTTGACTGCTCACCGTATATGCATCTCACAGGCTAAGGTAAATTCTACCGTGTGTAAGTCACAACAGGTCACAATCTTTAATTGACAGCTGTTCGCTTATTATAAAAGAAAGATCAGTAAAACTTATACCCATAGAAAGGTAAACAATGAGATGAATTCATCCATTGACAAGACCAGCACAGAACAGGCTATAACGATGTAAGCAACTTGAAAGTACTACGATTTGACGAGCGCTCCAATTCTAAGCTATGGCTCTGTATTGCACAACGTGTGTGAGAAAGACAACACACCAAGCTTAGTTTCATCAGTAACAAAGCTTGTGCTTCTCGTCAAACTACATATTAATAGTTAGAGAAATGAAGAGAAGGTTTAATCCATAGACAAGACTCAGATAGAAGAAGCCATAACGATGTAAACAAGTGTAAAGTACTGAGACAAGCATTTTGAGGCGATGCTTTGGGTCTAACCATCTCGCACAATGTGTGCAAGAAAAACAACACACCTCACTTTGTTTTTGGTTATATAACCCACGCTTTCCGTCCAATAGTCTTCAGATATGACCCCATAGCTAAAATGATAAGCTTTCTTGGATGCCACTTTCTTTATTCAAAACTTAGTAGAAGCTGAGATATCAACGAAACCAAACACATGTTTAAGTTTAAGCCGTTGTACAATATACGTTTACACAGCATTGGGTGGCCAATTATCCAGACATATGAGATACATTTACAGCGCAGTCAAAGGGTTAATGGGACGTGTCTATTCTCAGAAAGGTGGGCTGCAATACCTTGGTCATGACAAATAGCTGCTTTTTCTGGTCCCTTTCCCCTTTTGACACCCAACTTCTCTGATCAAATGTTATTACTTACAAAATGAGATATTTTCTTTTCCTCCATGCACGTGTAGGACTAGGCTAGATTACGGCTATGAGGGAAATAAAAATCACCACCCTTCTGGCCTCCACTATTACATTGTATTTAAAGTACTTAATATATGAGGAAAATAGAAGCTGTACATGACATAATGGTGCACAAAGATGCATCATTTGGAACAAGTCTAGACTGCCTGGTGCCACAGCAATCATTGTTCACTGTCAGGGGCTGGAATCTACGATAGTGGTAAGTTTCACAACTAGACTGAACATCCATGTTCAGCACCTGTAACCCCCACCCACCAAATCCTGTAGAAACAGACAACTCCATCCCATTTGAAGATATAATTATTATGCATGAGTATGGAATGCATGGGCTGGTGTCTGTAAAAGACAGCCTCTGATCAGTGGTATAGAATTTTACTGTCAGTGGTATCAAATTTTACTGTCTTTTATAGACCAACCACTGTAGAATGTTTTATGCCCCCCATTGACACCATTTACATACTTTAGAAGTCAGGCTGCCTCAACCCTGTCCGTCAGGGCGGAGTTGGATACAGTATCCCAGCAGACAGAGAAAAAAGTAAATATAGCTTTCCTTGCAATTGAACTTGCAAAATGGCAAAGAGTAAAACCATTATAATATAAAAGGCCGAACATTGATACGAAATTGCAACAAATAAACTCAACATTACAGCTAATGATCTACTGGTAAGGTGACCACTAGTTGCTTATGATAGTTTGTAGGTGAAAAATGCCCCAAGATGCAGCCACAACTGCTTGCAGCTTAATTATTTTATTGCAGTTAGGTCTGAGGTAGCTAGTTTTAGATTCCTACAATATGAGATGGAGACAGAGCCTGTTACTGATTAAAAAAAGAACATGGACACTTTCTTCAGAGTACAGTAAACGCGAGGTTCATTGTACATGAGTGTGGAAGGGTGAGCAAAATGTTTGTGTGTGTGTATGCGTATATTTGTGAGTGTGAGTGTATGTGAATGTGTGTGTGAACATGTCAGTGTGTGTGTGTGCTAGAGAGGGAGAAAGTGAGATAGAGAGCACAAAAACAGCAGAGTTGGTAGTGGGTGATTGTGGGATATCCCAAAAGGTTTTATTTATTTCGTAACCTGGAACATGACTAAACGAATGTTGATGGTTTTGGAGGCCAGCAGCTTGTTGCACTCCACAGAGTCTATGGGAAGGTCAAGGTAGTCAGTCTCTGTACTCTCTGCATTGAATTCAAAGGTGTAAATCTTGGATTTCATCTGGACTCCACCAAAAGGCCCACTTAGTGCCAGGAAATGCATGTTCATCTGCAAAAATGTCCAAATGAATAATATTTCAAATATAAAAATACAGTCAGTTGCATCGATGCCCCACCCAAAAAAGAAAACAACAAAACAGAACAAATAAAAACAACCACAAAAAAAAAGAAACTAAAAACAGCAAAAAACAACAACAAAAATCCACCGAAGAAGTCAAATATCCATTTGACAGTTTTGTGGGGGAACGGGAAAAACCTGATCATTACAGAATCCCAAACAATATCTTAAAATAGTGAGCCTAAATACAATTACTGTACGACATGAAGCTTTCTGCTCTGATCTCTAAGTAAACATGCAAAATTTAAGAGCGCTGATCTTCAGCAAAAATGATCAAATTTGTGAAAAACAGTTTGCTCTGATAGGAATTCGAACCAGGATGATTTGCACTATAGCCCAGCATCATAACAACTGAGCTAACCACCAAGGAAGAAGAAGGTTGCAAGGGGGAAAAGGAAGCAAGGGGAAAAACCTGCAACAGATGTGTGTATGATGACATTGAGGTACACAAAATGCAATTTCACTCACAGGGGTTGTTAGCTTTGTCTTTACAACCAGCTGATAGTTCAGTGACCTGTTGACTGTGTGAGCAGGGTTTTTGTGGTCAGAATTGATTTTGGCCCTTATCACCCATTGTTGATTGAAGGCAGTAAAACGAGACGTCTCGTAGTAGAGTCTTGTGATAAAGTCATCTGTTCGGAATGGTTTCAGTTGAAGATCTGGAAAAAAAAAGTACTTGTTACCTCTACTATTGGCCACACAACTTACTGACAGGACTGATAATTAAAAGGTCAGTTTGCACAGACACTACAACTAACTGTGGAAAAGTAAAAGATACCTTAACAACAGATTCTGTATTCTTTTGCCGCCCACGCTGTTCAACTCGCCCGGAAACCGCTCCTTTAGTTGCTCCATGCCAACGGTCAGTGCCACCAATGTCTGGGACATTAAATCAGCCGTCAGCCACACTCATTACCGTGAATCCAGCGGCGTGCCCCCGCATGCTCGCGTAATGTAATTCCTCCAAATTATGGTGTCTTTCCCACCCCAATATATCCAGATCTTAAGATGCTATATCACTACACGACCCCCCATTTTAAAGCTCAGCTTTCCCCCTACATGACAAACTTTGGTTGATCTCCCTTCACAATCTTGATTTTATTTAACTACTTCCTCATAGATGTGTCTACTGAATCGGATTCCATTTTCAGTGTTATTTGAATTTAAATGTAAATAACTTCGTAAACTGACCAACGTTTTCAATTCTTTTTACAAATATTAGTTGGGATTGGTATACTGTATAAATTGTTGAAGTTTCAACTTTGAGTAGTTTTCTGTGATTTTCCTAAACGGATTCCATTCTCAGTGTTATTTGAACCTGCGATCCTAGAGTGATATGTTTTAATCAAGAGTTGTCACATGTGACAGCTGGACTTGAGAAACCGAGGCCAGACTGCGAAAAGCTGTGAATCTCCACTCAACACTCAATATCTTTGCTTTTGGGAACGACACAAAGATGAAACAAAGTGAGTTTCAAACTTTACTCAATTTCTGACCCCATATTTTAACATTGTCAACATTGTCCGCAACTATCATGTTCAAATTTAATTAAATAAATCATGACCCTCTATCAATGTTTAATCATGTATCCACTTTTCTTTTTTCATCACCTCGTATTTCTTTATCTTAATGCATAAACAAAGCCTAAAATTGCTGCAATAACATTTTCATCACCAATCCGTCAGTCAGGCAAAATTCGCAACGCTGACCTCTTGACCCATTGGTTATGGGAGGTTCGAGTTACGCTGAGCATCAGGGCGCTGCGGGGTGCCAGTAGAACTAAAGTTCTGCTAGTGAACAGTTGTGTGCTATGCATTTTAAAAAATAGCAACATTTTTATGTGTTTCTTAAAACAGGATGATATATGGGCCACTCCGTAAAAAAAGAAACTTGAGACGTGCAGATGATGGTCTACTGAAAAAATTATCGGCAGTAACACAGCCTCTCTTTTTTGTTTGAAGCAACCTACCTCTAATATACACACACACAAAAAGTAATGCTATAATTGCTTACATTTTTTTTTTCTTCAGCAGGATATCATCCCTATGTTACGTGTGTCTCTTTATTGAATGGCCCATATACGGTGCTTTTCAATCAATGCAAACATTACCTTCTTCCTTCATTACACAAGAGATTTCACATCTCTGTCTTTTCTAGGCTACATTGTGAGTAGATCTCATTCCTCCTCAGATACACCATAAGGCATCCCTTGGGTCTGTGCTGAGCCAATATGAATTCCCAAAATAGCAAAACTTTACCCTATTCATTTATTCAGATTCAAATCAAATCAAAATAAAAAGGTACACAGACAAAGTAAAGTTAACTGATTCCATCCATGATTTTTTTAGGCTCCGGATAGAGTTATTTCCCCGTTCAATTTTTAACCTGAGGTGCATTATTTAATGCATCACTGTGAAGCTGTAAGTTACTCAAATATATATTGTCATATACCAAACTAATGGGAATAAATAGAGGAGTCTGATTATATCAATTACAATGACCTATATTCTGACTGTACGGTATTTTCCCTCAGATAAAAACGAAAGAGAAAAAAAATTGCGCAACACCTCTTCGAAAATTTCAACTTACCTCATTTTCTCAGCTCTAAAAGTCCTTATAAACCATAGGAATCAACACAAAATTGTAGACATATCACCCCACCACACATTTATGCAAGAATTTCCCAAATTTAGTTGAATATCTTTCACTGAAGGGCCTTTTTATTATACCAGGCTCCATGTTGTTTACCCTTACTTAGCGACCACAAACAATGATTTTTGCAAGAATTTCGCAGTTTCGATCTATTTTGACGCTCAGAGATTGAGGTCAGGCTTGTTTACAAGTTCTAGTTCCTTTCGACAACTTAAAAAGAAGGAACTATATTAAAAAGTGCACATTTGTTTTGGATTTCTTTGGGCCGCTCACAGAGGTCGAATGGCGACAGCGGAAAAACCCAGAGCGGCTGTTAGCGGCCGAATGGATGGAATCAGTTAAAATATTTTTCTGATCTTATGAGGCTGCTAAGAAACAACACTTCTAAGATTCAGAAGAAACAGTAGCAAACCCTCAACTAATCTTAGAATACAAAAGTATCATCAGTCTTATCCATTGCCTATAGATATATAATCCTTTCCCATCCCAGCCAAGACAAAAATAACAGGAAAACAACTTTCCCTTTTAAATATGAAGATATAATCAAATGACAAAGACAAATTTAATTGATTTCACAATGAGGAATGCATCGTGATTGTCAAATACAGGAATGAGAATTTCCGTTATGTGGACACTCTCACACATGAACTTAATTACGTTAGAGATATTCCTTACAACAGGGGTACACAGGTAGAGATAAACACTAACCGTTAAAGGTGATTTTCTCATAGGACAGCAGAGCAAAGATGTCGCTGTAGAGCTTCTTTTCCTCCTGGCGTTGCACATCCAGTTGCTCCAAAGCTCCCATAACCTCTTCTCCAGTCTTCTTGGGATGAGCACAGGACTCCTCATGCTCTGCCACCTCATGGAAGGGCCCCTCCCAGTGGCAGCCAATGCGAGCGTACCGACAGGAGCATGGCCTGTAATGCACATCAGATACTATGTCAAACGACAAAATCCCTTGTTAACAGCTCAAATGGACAGTCATACTTACGGTAGTAGTGGCGTGCTTAATCAACAAAGTGTCATGAGAGACTAAAGAAGTGTCTCATCACACAGTGTTAAGAAGCTTTCTGAGGACAAGATAACTTTGAAGGTCTCCATGGGGCTTTGTCGCATTTCCCACTTCATAGCCCATCTGAAAAAATAAAACTAGATGGAAACAAAAGCAAATGCTCAATACAGAATAGGTGAGAATCACAGGTCTGGTGCTGCTCTATCCGTTAGGAGTCAAGTACTCACTTTTTTTCCTGGATGCCCATCTTAAAAACTTTAATATTATATATCTATTTTAGTTGTACTTAATATTACCTCTTAGAATTAAAGCTCAATCAAGGATTACATGAAAGTTTATAAACACAACTGGCCGTACTCTATATTTAGTTTGAAAGCATTGAATTGATCTTGATTCAGTTATTTTCACATTTTGCCACTCTTGCTGGCAACCAGCATGTGAAAATTTATTGGAAAACCAATACAAGATTATGTTTTGTAGAGCAGAGCGACAAAAATAAATCTTTAGTTAAACTGTTCACTTTCATGATACTGCTAATTTTCGTTTCTCTTAGAAGCAAACACATAGGCTAATATCATCACGCCTGCTTAATCCTCGGGTTTTACTTTTATTCATAAAAAAAAAAGAAGAACAACAACCATTGCAAAAAAAAAACTATGACTCTTTCTTCAAATCTACAATATCAATCACATGCTCACACATAAAACATGATGGACATAACTAATTCGGGAAAAAAAAGACAAAGATACAAAAAAGTTTTCCATTAGCAATATTGTCTTCATCAACAATACAAAATAACTCTTTCCCAGGATGGACAAAGACAAAAATAAAAGGAAATTAACAGACTTTCTTCATCAAAAAAAGTAAGTATGAATAAAAGCTACCAACCACTATACTCTCAAGTAAGTACATGATGGCACCTTTCCCAATTTCAGACATAATATTCCTAAAAAGGCATATTGTAACGAAGACTAGGTACTCAAAGAAAAAAAATTAAACCTCCTCCTCTTCTTAGTTACTCCTCTGCAGTTTACTTTGCATTAGATATCTTAGACAAACACTATTTATTACAACTCCATAATGATAGGAACAAAGAACTATTTCATCTCATACGTCTCTCTTCATACAAAAACACTCACTCAGAAGTCTAGTAACCACACACTCATCATACCATATAAGTCATGTAAAAAAAATTATTTTAAGAAATTTGATCCATCTGTTAACTTTCTTTAGGAAAAGGCAGAAGAACAAAGTACTTTATTATTTTTTGGGGGGAGGGGGGTACAAAACAAGGGAAAAGGGAAATACACATTTTCAGATTATTGGTGGAAAGGGACCATTAAAAAAATTCAGTCCTTAGAATTCAATTAATTATGCATCAGTTGACACTCCACAGTATCAACTTTTTAACAATATTAAGTTTTGACAAAATTTTTGTACACAGGAGTACAAACGCTGATTATTTTTTTAATGGTCCATAACTATGAAAATAAAAAGACAATCTTCTGATCTGTTGCCAATAATGGGACAAAGACCAGAAATATAGTTGACAACAAAATTCATCACATTCAGTTCACTAGCTCAGGTATCTGGGGACAAAGCTGAGCTTTTTACTAACAATTGTTAAACTTCCACACAACAAAATAGTATTAGAACACAAAAACACCTTTAATCAAAGCCAACTACAAATATTCCTATCCAACTGTCAATGACTAAAAAGTGCAAAAATCAAAACTATTTAGAACCAGCAGCCCTTCCCTCCCTTCTAAATCTCACGTCACTTCACCCTCTTCCCTTAACCCCTCGCACATCTTCATAAAAAGATAACTTGACTGGGTTTTTTTATTTAGCAATGATAAAACACCACAGACCCATGACAAAGAGAGAAAGATACTTGCCGCTTCATAATCAACAGTAGAGGAACTGTTGCATGTGTACAAAGACATCCTCAGTGGAGACAAACAACCGCACATCAGGGAAAGCCAGCTTTTATCTTTTCTTCATACTTGGAACGCATCACTTCTTTCCTGAAATTGAGACATCCTGCCTCAAAGAAAACCTGCCTGCTTGAACAATAGAAAACAGAACAAGTGTGGCGCTTATTAGCAATGCATAGACCAGCCACCTACAACCACGTTGCAGTAACTAGTGATGTCAGGGAATGGTTAGCCATGCCACCAGCACCCGCACATTTGGAACTGCCCCATCAAATGTGCGCGAGCCCCGGCTCATGTGGACATAACTATCAGTGGTGTAGGTGGCTGAGAAAACATTTTCCTGAAAGAGAGAGCAGTCACTGTGGGTCACATGACATGGGGTGAAGCAGTTATCTTACCCGACGGAGGGAAACATGCTTACCTCTCCTGACACAGTTCCCTTTGATGGTGATCCAGCTGGTACCGTGGCAGTTGTTGATTGCAAAAGCAGCAGTCTGATGGCAGCTCTGACACAGCTTTCTCCACAGCTAGGTTGCGGATGCAAATATTTCTGTTTATTTCACAGCGACAGTTTGGACATGTAGCAGTTTCATCTTTTATTCGGGCATCTGCCAACAGGTGGTTGAAACACCCAGCACACATCAGGTGACCATTGCTACACTGAAATAGAAAAAAAACAAACAAACCCAGTCTTTAAACCATGGGACTAACAAATAAGATCTAATTTTATTAGAAGTTTCAAATGACACTTCGTTCACTTTCTCATGTTCTCAGTCCATAAACACGTTGGTTTGGCAAATTTTCTTTCGTTACACTTCACTGAGATTAGTATTGCCAGAAAAAACCCAGCGACACACAACACACTATTTCCTTGATCTCTATGAAACAGCACAATTATTGATCTGAACTTTAAAAAACAAAGTTCTAAGAAAGTGGCTATTCTCCGGCATCGCGCTGGCCAATAGATCTATATAATGGCTATTCTCCTGTATCGTTGCACATGTCGCTTCTCCACAGCTTTCCATCTCCCCTGTAGGCACGTAATGGCCATTATTATACTGTCTTCGCGGTTTTTCGCTGCCGCCAAGCTTTCTAATATTCTTTTAATAAAAGTATGCATGAATTTTCAAAATAACCCCATAATGCCAGTCTTTTTTAGTTTGTTTCATGGGGTAAGCAGCAATGGTCTGTATTGATTCTGAAAGCAAATTTCTTGACAAAATTGGGCAAATTTGGCATTTTTGTAGGCAAATTTGGGCACATTTTGGCGCCTTTTCAGTAGTTCCCACCCCGCAATTGTTATTCACGGGTTTTGGCCCCAAGAGTAGGGGGGTTTCAGGGGGGCTCGCCCCCCTGACCTAATAAAAATAGAAAGGGGGGTTTCAGGGGGGCATGCCCCCCTGAATTTTACCATAGTATAATTTAATGTTTTAAGGTTTGATATCTTAGCTCACCGCGAATCAAACGTATAGATCTAGAACATCTAGATCTAGATGTAGGTCAAATAAGGGGGGTGGGAACTACCGAAAAAGCACCCACATTTTAGGGTTGCAATTTGCAAATTACCGCGGGGACAGATTATTGTTGGAACTGAGTTCAGTGCCATCTCTCCAAATGTCAATTCCACTTTTACATGACTTTTATTTTCAAAATCAGAACCTGAATGAGAACGAAAAGAAATCAGAAGCTCAGTGCACCCAAAGACGAAGTAAGAAAGTGTACATTTCAGTTCACTGTGGGCAAGGCTGTCAATTTGCTGTGCTCTGTGACTGCAAAAATGCTCTGCTGTGAAAAAAACATGGCCCAACAACCAAAAAATGTAGGCCAACAAAGCTGAAATTAAAAATGAGGTCAGGCCTATAAACTATAACTTGGCTTAGAATCTAGAACTTAAAATACTTGTAACATTGATCATCACAATTTCCATTTTGAATCCGTGGCTGTGCCTTTTTTTTACAGTGGCTGAACTACTTCTTTTACGTACACTTCTTTTACGAAATTGATAATATAATAATAAACGGCAGGGTGGGAGGGGGTGATGTGGGTCTTTTCTATTATTTGGAGGGGGAGTGTCATTATTATTGTGTTCGCGTTTGTTGTGTTATGAAAGGAGTAGGTCACGCAATAATAAGACCAAGACAAACATTCAAGCTTTCTTTTCCGTTTCAGATTTGAATGAATGTACTGTCAGTACAAAAACACGCACCAGACAGGCTTACATCTTTCACATAAAAAAAGAAGTAGGCCTTCCCGTAAACGACCTGATAGGCGCGTTTGCTGGGCCAGTGCCACATCACAGATGTCAGACCAGCTGACACTGAAGTCCGTAAACTTTTTAGTTTGTCCTTCACTTACTTGGTAGCAGGTCTTCGGTAGGTCCAGACACACAGCGCAGCATAAAATGCCGCTTAGTCGATCTTCCAGCTTGTGTTTGATCTCTGCATCTTTATCTGCAACTTTTGTTTTCTTTGCAGGCGGTTCGTACGATGATACATTCTCTTTGTCAGCTGAAGATTCGCGAAGCACTTGTATAGTCGACACTGTTGCTTCCTCCATTTTGTTTGTTTGTAAATTTTAGATGACGCTTGCACGACCCAGTCAGCTGACGTCATGATTGACCAATGAAAATCGGATAACGTTGTCGTCGGTAATTTCCGTTAAACAAGAATGTGACACGGTTTTGAACGGACAATGCCGAACTCTGTGCTTCAGTGCAGATCGGACGAATCCGTTAGATCTACAAGCTCTTGGGCACGATAAAAAGCTCTCACACAAGCCCTCAGCTTTTAACGAAATTGTATGATGAACCAAAGAAGCGACAAACCGTAGGCCCTATTTCACTCTCTCGACCCCCCCCCCCCCTGGAATCTAAGGCAAACAGCCAAACAGTGGACCAAGTGTTGTGTGTAGAGGAAGTTTCTCCACCTTCCCAGTTCCAAAAAAAAAAAAAGAAAGTATAATGTCCGTGTCAACGTTCATTGTTATAAAAACAGTAAATTTTGTTGCCTAATTTAAAGTAGGCCAAATAAGTCGCTTTTCATGAACTCTTTTTCTTCTTCTTCATCCTCCTCTTCCTTCTTCTTTGTCTTCTTCTTGTTGTTGTTTGTTGTTGTTGTTTTCTCCTCCTCCTCCTCCTCCTCCTCCTCCTCCCTCTCCCTCTCCTTCTCCCACTGCCTCTCCACTCCGGGGGCTATCGTGGTCGAGACGTTACGAGCGTTCGCCTCTCAATAGATCCCGGGTTCGAATCCGAACAGCGACGGAATAAAAATTTTTTTTTCTTCCTTTCACCACCTTTCCAGCCCTATAACAATGTTCTGTCTGTTGTTTTCGTCTCCACTCTCTGTCCCCACTCCACCCCCTCACCTCCTTTGCCCCCCCCCCTCCTCTGGGCTCCTGACTCTTTTAACTAAGGCCTTAAAAATGCCTACGGCTACTCCTTGGCTCCAATTCTAATTACTGCTGTCTTTCAGCCACACCCGTAATCACGCTCTTATGGTAGTTACGTAAAACAAATGGCGAAGCTTCGGTCGCCACCCGGGCAAAATTCAAAATTAAGTCCTACCAACTGAAAATGTCTTATGTCTGAGGCGAGCTCTTTTGATTTTATGCTATTGCGAGCGTCGTAAAACACTGCGATAAACAAAACAAAACAATAACAACAACAACAACAACAACAACAACAACAACAACAAAAACAACAACAGATTCCCCCATCCCCCTCCCCTCTTTCTGCTCCTGCTCCTCGACTTGTCCTCCTTCACCTCGTCTTTGTCGTCGTCATCCTCCTCCTTTTCCTCTTCCTCCCCCACATCCACATCCACATCCACATCCACATCCACATCCACATCCACCTCCTTTTCTTTTTCTCCTCCGTCTTCCTCCCCTACTCCTGCAACTTTTTTTCCTTTCCATCTTTGTTTTTTGTGCCCGGTCGTTTTCTGCAGTACCGTGCTAGTTTTGAATGGATAGAAACCGCAACGACAGTAATAATTATTGCAAAGTAGTGGACAAGGGAGATGGACAGGAATTTTATATTGAAGAGAAAGAAGAGGGGCGTACAAGTGGCGCCCTCCAACCTCCTTCTCCTCCCCCTCTTTTAATTCTCCGTCTTTCTGTTCTTCTTCTCCTCTTGTTTCCTCTTTGTCCATCTTTTCCTTCTCATTTATCTTATTTTTTATTTCCCTTTCTTTCTTTGCTTCTTTCTCCTACTTTTCCTCTTCTTCCTCATCTTCCTCCCTCTCTTCCTCCTCCTCCCCTCCTCTTCCCCCTCCTCTCACTCTTCCTCCTCTTTCTCCCCCATCTCCTCCTCCTCCTCCTCCTCCTCCTC